TAAACCTTCCTGTCCACTTTCCTGTCTGCAAACTATTGAAGTTCTATTGAAGTTCTAGTGAAGTTCTAGTGAAGTTCTAGTGAAGTTCCCTATGTGTGTTTTTAACACAACGCTCACAAGTATTGTGAGAAACCCATTGAATATTTGAATAAGTGCAATATCAGTAATATTTGACACTTGGTTTAACTTTACTGCGGCCTCTTTCAACTGTGACCATCCCAAGCGGAGGACTTTTGTTTCCAAAAGTGACAGCGCTTAACCAATCAGCGTGCAGACTTGTAACACATGACTGGTATAAACCAATCAGCGTGCAGACTTGTAACACATGACTGGTATAAACCAATCAGCGTGCAGACTTGTAACACATGACTGGTATAAACCAATCAGCGTGCAGACTTGTAACACATGACAGCGCTGAACCAATCAGCGTGCAGACTTGTAACACATGACTGGTATAAACCAATCAGCGTGCAGACTTGTAACACAGGACTGGTATAAACCAATCAGCGTGCAGACTTGTAACACATGACTGGTATAAACCAATCAGCGTGCAGACTTATAACACATGACTGGTATAAACCAATCAGCGTGCAGACTTATAACACATGACTGGTATAAACCAATCAGCGTGCAGACTTGTAACACATGACTGGTATAAACCAATCAGCGTGCAGACTTGTAACACATGACTGGTATAAACCAATCAGCGTGAAGACTTGTAACACATGACTGGTATAAACCAATCAGCGTGCAGACTTGTAACACATGACTGGTATAAACCAATCAGCGTGCAGACTTGTAACACATGACTGGTATAAACCAATCAGCGTGCAGACTTGTAACACATGACTGGTATAAACCAATCAGCGTGCAGACTTGTAACACATGACTGGTACAAACCAATCAGCGTGCAGACTTGTAACACATGACTGGTATAAACCAATCAGCGTGCAGACTTGTAACACATGACTGGTATAAACCAATCAGCGTGCAGACTTGTAACACATGACTGGTATGAACCAATCAGCGTGCAGACTTGTAACACATGACTGGTATGAACCAATCAGCGTGCAGACTTGTAACACATGACTGGTATAAACCAATCAGCGTGCAGACTTGTAACACATGACTGGTATAAACCAATCAGCGTGCAGACTTGTAACACATGACTGGTATAAACCAATCAGCGTGCAGACTTGTAACACATGACTGGTATAAACCAATCAGCGTGCAGACTTGTAACACATGACTGGTATGAACCAATCAGCGTGAAGACTTGTAACACATGACTGGTATGAACCAATCAGCGTGAAGACTTGTAACACATGACTGGTATAAACCAATCAGCGTGCAGACTTGTAACACATGACTGGTATAAACCAATCAGCGTGCAGACTTGTAACACATGACTGGTATAAACCAATCAGCGTGCAGACTTGTAACACATGACTGGTATAAACCAATCAGCGTGAAGACTTGTAACACATGACTGGTATAAACCAATCAGCGTGCAGACTTGTAACACATGACTGGTATAAACCAATCAGCGTGCAGACTTGTAACACATGACTGGTATAAACCAATCAGCGTGAAGACTTGTAACACATGACTGGTATAAACCAATCAGCGTGCAGACTTGTAACACATGACTGGTATAAACCAATCAGCGTGCAGACTTGTAACACATGACTGGTATAAACCAATCAGCGTGCAGACTTGTAACACATGACTGGTATAAACCAATCAGCGTGAAGACTTGTAACACATGACTGGTATAAACCAATCAGCGTGCAGACTTGTAACACATGACTGGTATAAACCAATCAGCGTGCAGACTTGTAACACATGACTGGTATAAACCAATCAGCGTGAAGACTTGTAACACATGACTGGTATAAACCAATCAGCGTGCAGACTTGTAACACATGATTGGTATAAACCAATCAGCGTGCAGACTTGTAACACATGACTGGTATAAACCAATCAGCGTGCAGACTTGTAACACATGACTGGTATAAACCAATCAGCGTGCAGACTTGTAACACATGACTGGTATAAACCAATCAGCGTGCAGACTTGTAACACATGACTGGTATGAACCAATCAGCGTGAAGACTTGTAACACATGACTGGTATAAACCAATCAGCGTGCAGACTTGTAACACATGACTGGTATAAACCAATCAGCGTGCAGACTTGTAACACATGACTGGTATAAACCAATCAGCGTGCAGACTTGTAACACATGACTGGTATAAACCAATCAGCGTGCAGACTTGTAACACATGACTGGTATAAACCAATCAGCGTGAAGACTTGTAACACATGACTGGTATAAACCAATCAGCGTGCAGACTTGTAACACATGACTGGTATAAACCAATCAGCGTGCAGACTTGTAACACATGACTGGTATAAACCAATCAGCGTGCAGACTTGTAACACATGACTGGTATAAACCAATCAGCGTGCAGACTTGTAACACATGACTGGTATAAACCAATCAGCGTGCAGACTTGTAACACATGACTGGTATAAACCAATCAGCGTGAAGACTTGTAACACATGACAGCGCTGAACCAATCAGCGTGCAGACTTGTAACACATGACAGCGCTGAACCAATCAGCGTGCAGACTTGTAACACATGACTGGTATAAACCAATCAGCGTGCAGACTTGTAACACATGACTGGTATAAACCAATCAGCGTGAAGACTTGTAACACATGACTGGTATAAACCAATCAGCGTGAAGACTTGTAACACATGACTGGTATAGACCAATCAGCGTGCAGACTTGTAACACATGACTGGTATAAACCAATCAGCGTGCAGACTTGTAACACATGACTGGTATAAACCAATCAGCGTGCAGACTTGTAACACATGACTGGTATAAACCAATCAGCGTGCAGACTTGTAACACATGACTGGTATAAACCAATCAGCGTGCAGACTTGTAACACATGACTGGTATAAACCAATCAGCGTGCAGACTTGTAACACATGACTGGTTTAAACCAATCAGCGTGCAGACTTGTAACACATGACTGGTATAAACCAATCAGCGTGCAGACTTGTAACACATGACTGGTATAAACCAATCAGCGTGCAGACTTGTAACACATGACTGGTATAAACCAATCAGCGTGAAGACTTGTAACGCATGACTGGTATAAACCAATCAGCGTGCAGACTTGTAACACATGACTGGTATAAACCAATCAGCGTGCAGACTTGTAACACATGACTGGTATAAACCAATCAGCGTGCAGACTTGTAACACATGACTGGTATAAACCAATCAGCGTGCAGACTTGTAACACATGACTGGTATAAACCAATCAGCGTGAAGACTTGTAACACATGACTGGTATAAACCAATCAGCGTGCAGACTTGTAACACATGACTGGTATAAACCAATCAGCGAACAGACTTGTAACACATGACTGGTATAAACCAATCAGCGTGCAGACTTGTAACACATGACTGGTATAAACCAATCAGCGTGCAGACTTGTAACACATGACTGGTATAAACCAATCAGCGTGCAGACTTGTAACACATGACTGGTATAAACCAATCAGCGTGCAGACTTGTAACACATGACTGGTATAAACCAATCAGCGTGCAGACTTGTAACACATGACTGGTATAAACCAATCAGCGTGCAGACTTGTAACACATGACTGGTATAAACCAATCAGCGTGCAGACTTGTAACACATGACTGGTATAAACCAATCAGCGTGCAGACTTGTAACACATGACTGGTATAAACCAATCAGCGTGCAGACTTGTAACACATGACTGGTATAAACCAATCAGCGTGCAGACTTGTAACACATGACTGGTATAAACCAATCAGCGTGCAGACTTGTAACACATGACTGGTATAAACCAATCAGCGTGCAGACTTGTAACACATGACTGGTATAAACCAATCAGCGTGCAGACTTGTAACACATGACTGGTATAAACCAATCAGCGTGCAGACTTGTAACACATGACTGGTATAAACCAATCAGCGTGCAGACTTGTAACACATGACTGGTATGAACCAATCAGCGAACAGATGGTTAGACTTGGGGAGGTTCTAGACCAAGGTTCTACACCCGACACTTATTACAATGGTTAAACCAGTAACTTCTCCAAGGTCCCGTGCTATTGTGAACACACGGATAAATTGTCTCCAATTTATCGGGGCATATTATCTCAGCGCTCTTCTATACCCCGGCCTTTACCAATATGGTAGCTATACGAGTATAAGGTATTATATCTGGTATCTTTACCAATATGGTAGCTATACGAGTATAAGGTTATATCTGGTATCGCTAGAGCTCTTAGTTCTGCAAGAGAATATGCTGGATGATGTAAGCGGGTCAATAAAGGAGGAATTTGACAGCACAAACAGTTGACAGCTGAGTCGGGGGTTGCTCGTGGTAGGTATTCAGTAACTTTACACCTATGTGATCTCATACCCACAATTACAGCGTGTCCAGTGGTATTTAACCTATACTTGTAGTGGGGAAGCTAATTTAATTTAAGAAATCAGAAAATTAAATTGAGAAAATAAGGAGTGACTGTGTGTTATTGAGAAGAATTATTTATGTTATCTGTTGTTGTGTCAGCAGATAGTGTGCCTTAACCTCTCTAAGCGTGTCATAATATCATACGAGTCTTACATTATGTGCTGAACCGCGTACTATATCTGTATAAATACTGACTGTTTGTCAAAATGGTGGGAATACAATACAATAAGACTGACGATATATTTCCTTTCCTAAAAACTTTGTGAAATAACTCAAATACCTTAAAACTGAGATACCTAACTCAAATACCTTAAACTTTGTGAAATAACTCAAATACCTTAAAACTAAGTTATATAACTCAAATACCTTAAAACTAAGTTACATAACTCGAATACCTTAAACTAATATAAGTTACCTAACTCAAATAACTAACTAAACTAAACTCCTCTTAACATTGACAAAACTTCAGATGTGAGCTCGGAGCCGGTTTCCCCAAACGTGCAAGAATGTGTTGCAAAGTGCGACTGGAGCGTGGAGTGCGCGCCGGGCCCGCAGCGCGTCGGACACAGAATGCTCCACTCGTACGATGAAATGACAGAGTGGCACTTGAGTAACAGTGACCTGGCTAATGATAACTGGTAGGTGGGAACTTGTGGTAACTAGTGGTAACTATTGGCAACTATCCAGTAGTAACTAGTGGTAACCAGTGGTAACTAGTAAAAGTTCATAATAATACCTTATAACTTTATAATAACACCTCACAACTACAGAGAAAAACATGGCAAGACTAGATTTTACGTTATGTTAAGATGCGTCTTTTAAAAAATTAGTTTTCGGAATTAGTCTCTAACTGAAAAATTAATTAAACATACCCACAATTAAATGAGAACTGCTAAGTATGCTTAATTACTGTAACATAGACTTATAAACTATCACTGAAGTTGTGGGAAGTTAATTAAAAGGGGTTAATAGTGGTTAAAATAGTGGTTAGTGCTTAACTGTACCCTTGGCAAACAGTAAAACTGAAAAACGGAAACGACCTTGGTCCTATCAAATACCAATTAACCAACTGATTAGCCAATTAACCACCAATTAACCACCAATTAACCACCAATTAACCAACTAATCGCCCCAGCTCGGAAGCTAGTTCGGATATCCCCAACAACGAAGTGCCCCACTGTGATGAGCTAAAAGCGGGGTACACTAACGGTTACCACGCCCCCACTCTCTACCAGAACGGTTACATAGTGGACAGTGGTTCTGGGGACAGGAGTTTGAGGGAACATATAGAGAAGACTCAGGATACCTGTGATCGGATGTTCGAGGAGTTTCAGAGGATGAGAAAACATCTCCAGACTGTGTCCGGTGGGTTTACTTTTAGCTTTTGTAACATCTCCAGACTGTGTCCGGTGGGTTTACTTTTAGCTTTTGTAACTAAAACATCTCCAGACTGTGTCCGGTGGGTTTACTTTTAGCTTTTGTAACATCTCCAGACTGTGTCTGGTGGGTTTACTTTTAGCTTTTGTAACATCTCCAGACTGTGTCTGGTGGGTTTACTTTTAGCTTTTGTAACATCTCCAGACTGTGTCTGGTGGGTTTACTTTTAGCTTTTGTAACATCTCCAGACTGTGTCCGGTGGGTTTACTTTTAGCTTTTGTAACATCTCCAGACTGTGTCCGGTGGGTTTACTTTTAGCTTTTGTAACATCTCCAGACTGTGTCCGGTGGGTTTACTTTTAGCTTTTGTAGCATCTCCAGACTGTGTCTGGTGGGTTTACTTTTAGCTTTTGTAACATCTCCAGACTGTGTCTGGTGGGTTTACTTTTAGCTTTTGTAACATCTCCAGACTGTGTCTGGTGGGTTTACTTTTAGCTTTTGTAACATCTCCAGACTGTGCCCAGTGGGTTTACTTTTAGCTTTTGTAACATCTCCAGACTGTGTCCGGTGGGTTTACTTTTAGCTTTTGTAACATCTCCAGACTGTGTCCGGTGGGTTTACTTTTAGCTTTTGTAACATCTCCAGACTGTGTCCGGTGGGTTTACTTTTAGCTTTTGTAACATCTCCAGACTGTGTCTGGTGGGTTTACTTTTAGCTTTTGTAATATCTCCAGACTGTGCCCAGTGGGTTTACTTTTAGCTTTTGTAACATCTCCAGACTGTGTCCGGTGGGTTTACTTTTAGCTTTTGTAACATCTCCAGACTGTGTCCGGTGGGTTTACTTTTAGCTTTTGTAACATCTCCAGACTGTGTCCGGTGGGTTTACTTTTAGCTTTTGTAACATCTCCAGACTGTGTCCGGTGGGTTTACTTTTAGCTTTTGTAGCATCTCCAGACTGTGTCCGGTGGGTTTACTTTTAGCTTTTGTAACATCTCCAGACTGTGTCCGGTGGGTTTACTTTTAGCTTTTGTAACATCTCCAGACTGTGTCCGGTGGGTTTACTTTTAGCTTTTGTAACATCTCCAGACTGTGCCCGGTGGGTTTACTTTTAGCTTTTGTAACATCTCCAGACTGTGTCTGGTGGGTTTACTTTTAGCTTTTGTAACATCTCCAGACTGTGTCTGGTGGGTTTACTTTTAGCTTTTGTAACATCTCCAGACTGTGTCTGGTGGGTTTACTTTAGCTTTTGTAACATCTCCAGACTGTGTCCGGTGGGTTTACTTTTAGCTTTTGTAACATCTCCAGACTGTGTCTGGTGGGTTTACTTTTAGCTTTTGTAACATCTCCAGACTGTGTCTGGTGGGTTTACTTTTAGCTTTTGTAACATCTCCAGACTGTGTCCGGTGGGTTTACTTTTAGCTTTTGTAACATCTCCAGACTGTGTCTGGTGGGTTTACTTTTAGCTTTTGTAACATCTCCAGACTGTGTCTGGTGGGTTTACTTTTAGCTTTTGTAACATCTCCAGACTGTGTCCGGTGGGTTTACTTTTAGCTTTTGTAACATCTCCAGACTGTGTCCGGTGGGTTTACTTTTAGCTTTTGTAACATCTCCAGACTGTGTCCGGTGGGTTTACTTTTAGCTTTTGTAACATCTCCAGACTGTGTCCGGTGGGTTTACTTTTAGCTTTTGTAATTGGCTTTTATTGTTACTTTCAGATAAGATGTAGCTTACAGAAAACTGTCATTCTGCAAAGTCTGTATGTGGTTTTTGCTGACAAATAAAATAAAGTCATACAGGCACGAGTCGTGCCACGACGACAAATGAGTAAGCGATAAAAGCAATAGTAAAATTGCTGCACAGGATTTCTGGATTGCCTCTTAATCAAACAGCAACACAATGATGGCCAATATAAAATGATCTTTTATAGACTTATAGACGCAAACCATTGTTTGAGGAGTAATATTGTGTCCCCACGGATAACTCAATTATTAAATAAGTTTGATTACCTTAGAAATGAAAAAAGACAATATGAAGTGACATGAGTCTCCCATCTTAAGGCTAACAAAATAAATCCTGTCAAAAGTTATTTAAGTATTGAATGGGTAGCTTTTACGTTCAGAACTGTTTTTATTGCATTTATGCCAAGTTAAGCAGACATCACCAGTAATATCACGTAATTGATGGTGAACAAAGCGACATTAAAACAAGAGCAAGACAAATGCGTTCATTGGGGTTAGTTTAGACAAGTCCAGAAGTGTCCAACAGGTTTCTGTCAAAAGTTAACAACTGGGTCAGCGCATGGCTAAAATCATTTTTAGCCAATAATGTTTTTTGGAATATGTTGCTTCATAAGTTGTACATAAATGTCGCCATTACGACCATTTTTAGCCTATTCAAAAGTCATTACGATGCAATGTTCGAAAGCCGATACAAATATTTATTTTCCCTATCTGAGAAATTTCAAAAATGAGCGATTAGCTCATATAACTGACCATACTTTAACACACAGATTGGTATCTAGATACGCACAGTTTGGTATCTGGATACACACAGTTTAGTATCTAGATATACACAGATTGGTATCTGGATACACACAGTTTGGTATCTAGATACACACAGATTGGTATCTAGATACACACAGATTGGTATCTAGATATACACAGATTGGTATCTGGATACACACATAGATATTAGATACACACAGATTGGTATCTAGATATACACAGAGATACAGGACCGTCTCGTGTGTTAAACAGAAAAGGAGACTACCCGAAAAGAGACTATGTGACATGTGTCTGTCAAATCGAGTCAAACAAAACGAATTGTATCGAAATAATGTACACTGACTGGTCTGGACAAATTAAACCGCTTGATCATTTTGAATAAAGGATTGCCTCCAAAAGAATCCACTCTAGAATTCGTCTATCTTTACTTGAATTGTATTAATTTGAATGACATGTGGTATGTCCAACAACATACAACATTGAATGGCAACGGTATTTTCATACCGTACTGTGCACGTGGTAGAGCTAAATTAAATTCCACTATCACGTTAGTCACGAGCAGTTGGCAAAGTGAAAAAGCAGTGGAATTAATTCACGCCACCATCAAAGCAGCATCACAGAGAAAAGCCAAGCTTACACAAAATAAAGTCTTGAAGGCTGTTTAATAAGATGATAAAGAGATCTACTCAAGAATAAAGAGCACGTGGTTAAAGGTTATCATCATGTTTCCCTCCCCTGACACAAGTTTCCTTCATGAGTTAGGTTTCTGGTTTTGGACAAATTGCTGATGGGCGCTTTCGTGCTTGACTTTAGATAATTGGAAAGCTTTGTAGTTTAATTGAGTGAGCAGAGAGTGACTAATTTCTCATTAGTTTTGATTAACTTTTTAGGGTAAGCTTTATAGTAAAGCTTACTGTAAGTTATTAACTATTAAGAGACAGGTTTTTTAAATAGTTTCACGTTTATTTTACTTGGTTATTAATGTTTCCAAGTTACACATTACTACCAAGTAATTACAGCTCTGAAATGTTAGAACACAGCAGATTGTGTGATCTATACTCAGTGTATGTAGTAGTAGTAGTAGTATCTTAAACGGATAGTTTAGCCCACGTACCAATGCTACATGACCAGGCTCGAACTCGCAACCTCAAGATTACCAGCCGCGCACGCTGCCCCTTCACCAAGTTACAATATGTTTGCTGTGTTCTATTTTTATCAGGGAGGATATTTGAGAAAGTACGACACATAATTTATATTTTATAGCAATATAACTGTAATAAAATTTGAAACCTTGCAAACTGTGCATCTTTCATCTTTTGCGGGTAAATATCTAGTCACGTGACTGACCCTGTCATAATTCCTGTTTCCGGTGTTTTTGTAAAATACAGTACCCACCCGCACACCTGTAAATCTCAAAAAGTGTGACCTCAATACGCCATTATAATAATGTTCATGATCATGTCCTCGGTAAAATATACATACAAATCACAAAATCTGTGGAATGACGAAGGATGAATAACTACTACTACTACTACTACTGCTGCCCAGAAAGTTAACTATAAAAGACCAGCGCACACAAAACGAGCAGTCACTTACCTGATAGTTTGAAACATTTACTGAATTAAGATCTCACGAGTTTTAACCTACAAAGCTAAGTACTACTGGACGACAGCTGACGGCGGGTATCAACATTGTTAGCGGTGGTTTGACCCGCCCACTAGCAACGAGAGAGGTGGTTCCCTCCAGTCACGTGGTTCCCTCCAGTCACGTGGTTCCCTCCAGTCACGTGGTTCCCTCCAGTCACGTGGTTCCCTCCAGTCACGTGGTTCCCTCCAGTCACGTGGTTCCCTCCAGTCACGTGGTAACCACGTGGTTCCCTCCAGTCACGTGGTAACCACGTGGTTCCCTCCAGTCACGTGGTAACCACGTGGTTCCCTCCAGTCACGTGGTTCCCTCCAGTCACGTGGTAACCACCTGACTGAGTCACATACCCACCCACTCCTGGCTGGCTGTGTTCACAAAGCAGGGGTTGATAGCTAACCGGTGACCTGACTGGTCACTGTCACGCGGACTATGTGACATATACAGGACATCAAATCAGAGTACTTTAAAGGGAACATCAATAGTTGTCAGCCTGACTAATAGCAACACAGTCACTCAGTCAGGCTGTAACTATAGCAACACATATAGTAACGATACTGTAACGATACTGTAACGATACTGTAACGATACTGTAACGATACTGTAACGATACTGTAACGATACTGTAACGATACTGTAACGATACTGTAACGATACTGTAACGATACTGTAACGATACTGTAACGATACTGTAACGATACTGTAACGATACTGTAACGATACTGTAACGATACTGTAACGATACTGTAACGATACTGTAACGATACTGTAACGATACTGTAACGATACTGTAACGATACTGTAACGATACTGTAACGATACTGTAACGATACTGTAACGATACTGTAACGATACTGTAACGATACTGTAACGATACTGTAACGATACTGTAACGATACTGTAACGATACTGTAACGATACTGTAACGATACTGTAACGATACTGTAACGATACTGTAACGATACTGTAACGATACTTTAACGATACTGTAACGATACTGTAACGATACTGTAACGATACTGTAACGATACTGTAACGATACTGTAACGATACTGTAACGATACTGTAACGATACTGTAACGATACTGTAACGATACTGTAACGATACTTGTAATTCAGTTAAAACACAAAGTCTTCAAAAGATATCTTCAAATTGTGGAGCTAAGCGACTATTCTTAAACTACAGCAACAATACAATAGTGTTGAATAGTGTTACCAAATAAAAGAGGCTTCAGAAATGACCGGTGGCATCCTCTAACATTTACTGTCTGTATTTTGATTGGGTCAGCAAAACAGAATGATCTCGATCATTTTTAGCCGCCACTCCATTAGACATCACAACAAGAATAAACAGGTGTTGATAAAAATGTGAGGTATCGATAAGAACTGTTTAAATTTATGCGCATTATATCTTTGAGAGTTAATAATTCAATGTTAGTTCTTATGTCGGCTCAACTTGCTCGCAAAACGTCAATAATTCCACCTCGTACTGTACGATGTAACTGTACGAGGAATTGAACAACAAAACTTTACAGTAGAAATATAAACGACTGCTGATCGACATACCGGCAAGTGAATAATATGTGGACAAAGCAGTTAAAGAACCTTACTAACCAGTGTTTACTGTAGTATGTGATTCAAGTTTCAGGACAGCTTCACACTGCACAACTTGCACAACTTGTTTGGACAGGCTTTATACAGCAGGGTGACAGAATAATTGGCGTGTTAGAAATTTTATGAGCATTTTATGATAAAAACAATATTTTTCAACGGGTCATAACTTTACTTCTGGGTATCGAAATTACAAAACTCATCCCGGTATGCGGGAGAAGCTACAGCTACAAAACCTCAAATCAGTGTTCGTTGAAATAAGGGAACTATAGCTAGTTAGTAGATTCATATGGATTTAGAACTGTCCTAGCAAGGCAAATATCAGATACTTAGTTAGTTAAAAAGAAGAATTCCTGGGAAATAAAAAGGTCTTCACATGTTTTTGTGCAGCTGAGCGACCATCTGGCTGACTATAACGACAATTAAACTGGCTTCTTATACTGGCCGCCTTTTACTTAACCCGTCCAGTACTAAAGCTCCGAAGTATGTGATTTGAGGTTTCAGGAGGACTTCACACTGCAGAAGTTCTTTATAGTCCAGACCAATTATTATAGACATGGAGAATTTGTCGGTGTTACCGAATACCGAAAAGTTGAGCTGTGACACTATACAGAGCAATCCAATCTATTTAGCAATTATTATTATTATTAAATCAAAGTTCTAAACAAGGGATAGTTAAAAAAACAACGCCCGAGTCTAATCTTTCCCTAAAACAAAAACTAAAAATTAAAAACTTCATTGCAATTTCCGCCAATATCTCTTGTCATAACTCAAATTACGGAGATAATGCAGGTCAAAGATATTATTCAAATAAAGATTTCTTTTACATAAATCATGCACAATCAGCGAGAAAAGATTGCTTTGGGGTCTTCCTCTTCTCCCTGGTAAGTCCAGTGTATTGATGGCAAAAATGAGGGAAGAAAACGCTGGTCCGTCAATAGGACCCCGCAAAACATGTCCTAACATTCTCCACCGACTACGGGCCACTTTTTCTGACAATGGTTCAGCATTGCAGCGTTTATACAAGTTTTTGTTGGAGATGACTCCTGGGTACTTTATATTCAAAATAGTGCGAAGATGTCTGCGGTGAACAACATCTAGTTTTTCAAGGAATATTTTGGGGACGGCCCAACAGGATGAGTTGTACATAAGAACCGATACGACTAAAGCATTATACAGTATTAGACGTTTGTTTAGGGGCAGTTTATCACTCCAGGCCTTCTTGTAATTGTTAAAGGCAGCATATCCCAGGTTTATGCGACGCTGAATATCAGCTTTGCTACACAAGACGGACCCTAGAGTGATACTTTTCCTCCATGCTTCATTCCCCGACACTAATTTTCCATCACTGTCGACTTCACCCGTACTAGCTAAATAAACATGAGTGAAGTCCGTTTTGTCTTCATTGACAAAGAGGTTCCATTTCTCGAGTATAGCTGTTGCCTGGGGCAAAATAGCTCTCAAGTTGTCTTCCTCTTCATCATTGAAGTCAACATCATCAGCATATTCAGTGTCAAGTGGAAGGCCAGCAATAGTAATCGGGGGGATCGGCCTATCTAAACTGATTGTTATAGTCCATCTAAGTTCATTCAAAGCACCAGCCAAGACAAGGGTGAACAGACAGCCGGATAGACAGTCACCCTGGAAAGCTCCAAGGAGACTTAAAAACTCAGCTGAAAGAACTCCATTTACCTTCACCCGTAGCTTTGTGTTGGACAACAACAACCAGACAATCCTCAGCTCATCCTCAGTACAGCCACACAGTTTCAGGAGTTCAAGAATCGTAGTGCGTTTGATCGTGTCAAACGCACTAGACATATCAATGCCCATGCGATGATACTCCCATTTCTTCCTTTGGACAACTGACAGTAGAACTCGCTGACACCAAACAATATCAGCACAAGAACGAGCGCGTTTATATGCACACTGCCATGGACCAGTGAAGGCGTTCACTTTTTCTTCTATCCTTTTAAGAGTAGCCATTTAGCAATTAGTAAATAAATTGATAAATTACCTACTTAAGGGGGGTTCACCCTGATTTTGGTGTGAAATTTGGGCATATGGTTTTTGGCTCATAACTCAGTCATTTTTTGTACAATCTTGATGAAAATTCATGTACGAGTTAATCAGTGGACCACAAGTAGAGCACCTAAAATCTGGATTTTGGGCATGTTAAGGTGATTTGGCATAATTGGGACCAAAAATGGGCGTGGCTGTCCCGCCGGCGCCCGGCACCGGTGGGCAACCGGAGTCCGGAACCCCCTCAAAAGTTCGGTCACAGGCCCTAGTTTGTTGGTCAATTGCTATCTCCAAATAAAATTTCACAAAAATATCAGGGTGAATTAATAAACCTATTCTGTCCCCTCAGACCGAGTTTACCAAGCCCCTCTCCTCTCCTCCTCTCACCTCGCCTGCAGTAGGGAGTTGTTAGATAACGACAGTGAGCAGTCCTCTCACCGGCACAGCGTGGCTGAGTCCCCCTGGCCTAGTGTTAATAACCTCTCTGTAGACGAGAATAACAACCCCGAATACAGGGTCACCAGGTTAGTTTCACTTTCACTATCACTTTGCCAGGTTAGTTTCACTTTCACTATCATTTTTCTCTTTTAATCTCACTTCACCAGGAGTTCACTTTTAATCTTACTTCACCAGGTTAGATCACTTTTATTGTTACTATCACTTTTAATTTTATCTCTAATTACAACATTGACTTTCATCCTACTTTCATTCTATTTCTCTATTCTCATTTTAGTTCAAAGTCACATAACTTGAAACTATCAAGTACATACAATATTACCAACAGTACATGACATTACAAATACATGTGCTTCTCATGAGTGTAAACTGTAATAATATATTAACTCTTGATAAACAGAAGGAGTGGTTATGTCACGTGGTTAACTCTTTGTTCTTACTAATTATTGAGGATTCTTCTTTACTAGTATACTGTTAGGCTGGTGGTGGTTTATAAAACCCTTGAGTTGACACGTCTAGGTCAGTGAAGAGTTGATCTGAGTAACATTCAACGTTAGTTCAACATCACTACATGACGTTGGTTCATTACGACATCATTATTATTATTATATATTCCAGCCTAAGTAAAGTTAGTGACAATTCTCTCACCACTTTAACGCAATCCCATGATAACTGTGTTCTGTTTCCATGATAACTGTGTTCTGCTTACTATAAATGTTGATGATGACATGGTATTGTAGGGTATCCCTCTTGACACCAGCATTCCTTCACCCCACCTCATTAGTTTTTAATCCTAGGTTACCAAATTACCACTAGTTACACACTGTAACCATGGTTACCAAATACGAGACGAAGCAGTAAAGTTTTGTGACTATTTAAGGATTTTTAGGACAAGATAAGCCTTCAAATTTGAAATTCCCATGAGTCGTCGGACATGAGCATCTTTTCTGTGTTGTAATGATTCCATATACAGGGTGATTTAATAGGGCCATATTTGCTTCAGTATCTGAGTACAACAACAATATCCTTTAATAAGACGGTCATTAACCACCGCGGCCATTAATCGGCTATTAAATAGCCATTAACCGGTCTTTAATAGGCTCTGAAATTGTTATCAGCAAGTTATAAACCAGCTCCACTTTGTCCCACATTTCCCAATAAGTGTAAAGAGTAGTGTTTGATGTGTCGCCAGACGATACAATTTCATTACCATATTACTTTCTCCAGACACTCTTATCACGTGACTAAATAAAGCAATCTTATTGGTTCCCAGCTCAAATACTTCCCTCTCATTGGCTGGTTAGAAATCTAGTAGATACTTCATACTTCACAGCACCTTGACTGGGTAACACCACCAGACTAATTGCCTAATTGGATTACCTTTTTCCGTGTGCAAACCAAATATTTGGAATGTTTTTACTTCTGTTAAAAATGCTGACCCCTGGTTTTATAGCAGACCCACTAGCCCATACACTGTATATTTACTATATCTTTACAACTATACGATACAGTTTCTCCATGGAGCTTATAAGATATCTTCACACAATAATTTACAAATAAAACCCGATATTATTCTATCATGTTTTAATTTCTAGATTCTAATTTCCTTATTAGCTATTAGTCAGTATCTTGTGAGGCGCACCCCAACCCCGCACCCCAACCCCGCACCCCAACCTCGCACCTGGACTACGTAAGCTGACGCGCGTGTTACGTCCGTCTTAAGCACTAATCAAAACACAAGGGGGAGTAATTATACCATATATGGTAGTACAAATAGGAGCTATCAAGCTGGTCCATCAAGGGTCATCTTTATCTGAGATTTACTGTAAAACTGACGGAGGTTTGAGATAGCAGGGAGATAACGACTGTGTAAGCTAATTTATGGTGCTGTGTGGAGCAGTGTGGTAAAGTGGGTTCTTGAAAACACGAAAAAAAGAAGGGATAATTGTATTTTATCTTTCAAGAAGGATTTCAGTTGAGGCTGGTTTTGTTAAAGTAAGTGAGGGCTTCAAAAATAAATAATTGTTCGAGTTAGGACGTTGTACATCGCACTCCGTGTTAAAGGTGTATGTAAACCCGTGCAATAAGATTTGACATAGTTTAACCATAGCTCCACGAATCAACACTGAGAATCTTCTACATTTACCTGCAAATCAACACTGAGAATCTTCTACATTTACCTGCAAATCAACACTGAGAATCTTCTACATTTACCTGCAAATCAACACTGAGAATCCTCTACATTTACTGATTCCTTGATACGGCGTTCTCAATACAGTATAGAACTATTTGAGTATTTGGATCAGACTAACTGTTAGAGTTGCTAATTACGCTGTACTACTGTACTACTGTACTACTACTCTACACCCCGCTGCTAGAGTAAACTATTTGGTTATTTAAACTCCATTATTCGAATTATTTAACTGCATGTAAAAAGGTTAATAATATTCGGTTAAGCCTGTTAATGCAGAGTGAGTCAAGCATAAGCACAATTATATTTAAAATTAACCCTAGTACAAAAACTTAAAAAAACAAATAAATTAAAATTAATCAAAGAATATTATTAATATAATACTTTCAACACTATTTATACTTTCAACACTACTGTATAACAACTAATTTGAGTATCATTAATATTATGTAATGGAAGTGTTGTAGCCAGATGCAGACAGTTCCCACCCTGGCTCCGCAATAATATAACGACTTTTTCTAATTCTAAATGAAAATCCCGAATGAGAACCAATCAACCCACAAGTTCCTATTATTACAAATCTTTGAGAAGTTAAGTTGTAGGTGATCAGATCTCATACCATAATATTTATTAATTATTATTGTTTTTAATATTTATTAATTATCATATTATTATTATTATTTGTTATAACCTTATCATATTAAGTAGTAGTAGTATGATGAGTTATTTGAGTAATAATGTAGAGTCTGTGGCAGCTAGATCAGCTACAAGAAACCGGACCACAGTGCTTGTTAGATTCGTGACTTGCTTACATGCACATACTATGCACATACTATGCGCATAATTAACATATTAATAATTAATATCTCAATAATTAGTGAAATAGTTAGCGTCTTGGCAGCTACCTTTCTTAAATCACATTTAATAAGCTGGTTATCATAAAGTCATAATATCTAGTTATTTGAGGGAACATGAGGAGGCAGCTCTAGATCAAGCAGTGTGACTGTGAGCATGGTTTGTCGTAGGTCAGTGTGATTAGTGTGATCAGTGTGATTAGAGCTTGTTCAATCAAATACGCTGCCTAAAATCTCATGCTTCATTTATTAATAGCCAAATTCATGCTGTGATAAATCTTAAAAACGTCTGTTTATGAACGTGATATTTTAATGTCTAACAAAAAGAAGCTAGAAAGAGCTAGGTTTTTCAAGTGCTTGCCACCTGTTCTTTTTAAATACTGTGTTAAACTGTGGCCTGTGCAAATATTACAATTAATATGATCTTAACTTGACACTCTATAATACCTGAAGTTCTGTCCTGGCAATTAATTATTGTTCTCTATTATTGTTAGTTGTCATGCTACACTAATACTGCACGTGGTACAGCAATACTGCACGACGCACGTGGTACAGTAATACTGCACGACGCACGTGGTACAGTAATACTGCACGTGGTACAGTAATACTGCACGTGGTACAGTAATACTGCACGTGGTACAGTAATACTGCACGTGGTACAGTAATACTGCACGTGGTACAGTAATACTGCACGTGGTACACTAATACTGCACGTGGTACACTAATACTGCACGTGGTACACTAATACTGCACGACGCACGTGGTACACTAATACTGCACGTGGTACAGTAATACTGCACGTGGTACAGTAATACTGCACGTGGTACAGTAATACTGCACGTGGTACAGTAATACTGCACGTGGTACAGTAATACTGCACGTGGTACCGTAATACTGCACGTGGTACAGTAATACTGCACGTGGTACACTAATACTGCACGTGGTACAGTAATACTGCACGACGCACGTGGTACAGTAATACTGCACGTGGTACAGTAATATTGCACGTGGTACAGTAATACTGCACGTGGTACAGTAATACTGCACGTGGTACAGTGATACTGCACGTGGTACAGTAATACTGCACGTGGTACAGTAATACTGCACGTGTTTATCAGGTGTTAGAGTCAGGTACACTGTCAGTCACATACAAAGCTTATTACTGTTGTGTTTAAAACCGTTACTAAATGTATAATATATAATATAAAGTAAAGTGTAGTTACTGGTAAAGTTTAACTCTCGTTGGAGCTTGTTAGCTGGTAGTTAGCAAAGTTGCTGTGTAATTACAACACGTGCTAGTTACTACACTAGTTACACCACGTGCTAGTTACTACACTAGTTACTACACTAGTTACTACACTAGTTACTACACTAGTTACTACACTAGTTACTACACTAGTTACTACACTAGTTACTACACTAGTTACAACACTAGTTACTACACTAGTTACTACACTAGTTACAACACGTGCTAGTTACTACACTAGTTACTACACTAGTTACTACACTAGTTACTACACTAGTTACTACACTAGTTACTACACTAGTTACTACACTAGTTACTACACTAGTTACTACACTAGTTACTACACTAGTTACTACACTAGTTACTACACTAGTTACTACACTAGTTACTACACTAGTTACTACACTAGTTACTACACTAGTTACTACACTAGTTACTACACTAGTTACTACACTAGTTACTACACTAGTTACTACACTAGTTACTACACTAGTTACAACACGTGCTAGTTACTACACTAGTTACTACACTAGTTACTACACTAGTTACTACACTAGTTACTACACTAGTTACTACACTAGTTACTACACTAGTTACTACACGTGCTAGTTAAGTTACACTATTAGTAGTACATACTACACTAGCACACTACTGCACTAGCACACTATTACACTACTACTGAAACAGTAGTTACAATGAAGCAGGGTCGTGGTGTGTGCACTGTTTAACATTTAACAAGTAAACACTAAACAAGTGTACACTACCGGTACAGTAGTGGATATCAGTACATTGTACTATGTAGTATTAGTTACTTTAGATAAACTGTACATATTGTGTAGTATGTATATTTGTATATTTGTATATTTGTATTAGTTACTTTAGATAAACTGTACATATTATGTAGCATGTATATTTTGCAGGAATATTAGCGGGTAAAAGTACTGGACTATAAAATGTTTCTGTTTAGCTTTACGGCGTAAGGACACCATCAGTAAGTTTCACGTGTCCTTATTGAAGGTGTAACTGCGTGACACCCTCATTTGCAACAAAATAACAATAATGTAACAACAATAATGTAACAACAATGATATTCTGGTGGATTCGTGTAGTGTTATTGAGTCTCATAAACACATTTGTTGTTTCTTTCATTCAAATTTCTGATTGTTTCTGAATAGACTCAGTGAAGACAGATTCAATTATAACGATCAAGATTCACTGTAAAAATTTTACGACGAAATTTATTTCAAACAAAATATATAACTGTAAAATATTTATCCACTGTAAAATAATTTTTACTGTGAATCTTGATCGTTATAATTGAATTAACACTATTTCAGAATATGAGTATGACGTAGAAATGTCGATACGTTATTCAGCTATTTATTTCCATTAGAATCTGTCTTCACTGAGTTTATTCAGAAACAATCAGAAATTTGAATGAAAGATACAACAATGATATAAACAATGATATTAATAATGGGGATCTCTGTAACTGGTCTAATCCCTAGAGATTAGAGTTATCTTACAATTCTATATTAACATAATATCACAGCAGCGTGTCATCTTACTTCTGTCACTTTGATAGTTTGTATCTTTCATTATGTTTAAATGTTATGAGAAAACTAAATTTAAGATTTTAAATTGTCCATGGGTATTGTTAATAAGAACCTCAATAACTTATTTATTTAAAAAAAACTTAATCAATATATTATATAATATGTTTTAAACAACGCCTTCAGGTTAATCAATCTCATTAAACTATATAAAAAATAAGTATAAAGAATAAGGAAAAGGAACGGGAATGAAGCCAATACCAGAAGTGAAACCCCACCAAAGAATAATTGATCCTTAGGTAGACCTGGTGAAATAAAGTAACTGAACTGTAAGTTTAAGAAAAGACGGAAGGAATAAAGGAGAGAGGAAATAATGTTATGTGAACATCATCAGCAGATGACTTGGCACACCGGTTTCGGGGGTTTAATACCTGTACCGGTTTAATGTGCCAAGACCCCCTAGCAATCACTCGTCAGTGATCACCTACATCGACCATCAATGTATGTAGTTTAAATGTACTTAAAGACAGCGCGAGTAATATTATTCCGGAAAGAGGAGTTTTCCTCGTTTATTTCTGGTCACAGAATCTTGTGGAAACCAAATTTATACTAAAAAGTAATACGTAAAATAGAACAGATCGTTTTTCTTTAAGTCGTATATATTACTATAATACAGGACATCCCCACTATAATACAGTATATATTACTATAATACAGGACATCATCACTATAAAACATCATCAACAAAATATCAACAAAACATCTGCAAATGACCGTGGCGAATAAAAGAAGTGTTTAAATTAATCGAATTCGAATAGATTCGAATAGATACTACATAAAAAGTTGACAAAAATGTAAAACAAATATGAAATAATGAGCTGGGAAACTAGTATTCCAAGAAAGCAAGTATCGATGCACTACAAAGAGTCACGACATCTGCACAATAAATTATCACTTTATTAGAAGTTGTACATAACAAGATATCACCAGCCTACAGCTAAGTGTCTTGTTATATAATTTTGCTTTTATAAATAGTTCTAAGTTAGGGTGTATACTAAGTTTGCCTACTTATTACTTTGAATATAACTTTAAGTATGCTGAATATTGTTTAATATTGTTTAATATAGTTTAATTATCACACTATCATAAGTTGAGCAGGTCTATTACTACTATTTTATAGACTTTAATTCATTGTAAATTCAGGCGCTTTTTTACTTGCTTTCAGTACGCTGTAAAGCCCAAATATTCCGTAGAAACTTTTAGAAACAGTGAGAAAGCTGGTTTTTGTTTTGGCGGCAAGTAAAGACTAAAGAGCCAATCAGTGAGCTCCGTAATGGAGCCGATACGTCAACAGGGCATAGCATTTACCAACTTCCCCTTTAAGTACTTTGAGTCGTTATCTTTCAGAGATTCCTTGTCGACACTTGTATCCACGGTCTAAATGTCTAATAGAGCTCCTGTTATAGAGCTCCTATGTGAGAGCTTGTGAACAGATATTGTCGGTAATATGTCTCTTCTAATCTCTAGCTTGATCCTCTATTTTCTTACTTGGCTTCCCCTTCAGACCACATTCCAGACCACATTCCAGTCTACTTTCCAGTCTACATTCTTCTTCTTTTTGTGGCAATAAATTCTCAGTACGTGTTTTTTAGTTGTAGCTCTTGTACATAGTCAATAAAGACAGCGCGGTTATTATATAATGAAAATACAGTCTTTATATTGGAGACGGTCAATGGACTTGGTGGACTTGGTGGACTATCTGGCTCGTATCATGTATTAAAATATAACTCTAGGAAGTCTAGTCTTATCACTGTAATACCAACCACTAATCACTATAAGTATACATCACTTTATCTTCACACACATAACGGTGTAATGTTGATAAGATAACAATGTTTAGATTAGTTTTCGCTGATTTACTGTTAACACTTTACATTTACCGTTATTAACTCGTTTACCGGTGTGACTCTAAATAAATATCATCTGGAAATTAATAACCTTAATTTATCAACCATAAACTGCAAGCATTAAATGTTTTCCGTAAGATTATTTCAGTCAGGTTGTCTAACTCTATTGTCTGTCAGCAGCTCTGGTCAATATCTGGTTTTTACACTGCGCATCCATCTAAATACACTGTTCATCAAATATCTGCCTTAATAAGAGTAAACAAGCCAGAAAAGGGTGGAATTATTTCACTTAATCTATTTACATCAACATCTAAAACATGTTGATATAATATTATAGTAGCTAAATAAGGTACTATCATCATAGTATTGTAATCTAACCATCACTATAATGGCAATATTCACCACACTTATTGGTAGTTCCCACAACCAGACAATGAATGCTCTTGCAAAGATCAGATTAAATCAACTACAATAGGGTTATACAATTAAAGGAAATATGTGGAAGAAAGGGCACAATAAACACTGCTCAAAATTAACATCGTTCTCACGAGAGGACGTGTGGAGTGTTGCTAAGCGTGTTGCTAAGCGTGTTGCTAAGCGTGTTGCTAAGCGTGTTGCTAAGCGTGTTGCTATGCGTGTTGCTAAGCACTCGCGTGTGGGGTTTTGAAAGATCACAACTAGTTGGAGAAGCTCAAGGACCAAGATCAAATTCAAAAGAATTAAATGAATTAATATAACAATAACGCTTTAAAGTTCTCGATTTCGGATTCAATAAATTCTCATCTGCTTTCAAAAGGGCTCGAATTCTTAAGTATAAAAACATTATAAGACAAATCCAAATTTAATTTAATAGAAAGTTTATGTTGATCTAATGAATGTGCAGCCTAGTAATAATAAGAGGTTAATTATAGGACATGATAACAATATACCGCAGTATTCTCACTGTTATACATGTCATTACAATTCTCCTGTTCAGACTGAACAATACTTGCTTCACTTTCACTTTCACTTTCACTTTCACTTTCACTTTCACTTTTACTTTCACTTTCACTTTCTTTGATTAGGTCTATAAATTGTCTGAACAGGAATGCGTAGATTGTTTTAAATAATAATATCTGCTATGGTAATGTAACCATACTTCTATTATTATTACATTAATAATAATAATCAAACTGTTTTCTTCTCCAGACTAAAGAAAACAAAGAGTAGCGCGAGACTGTTTGCTAAACGTTCACAAAAGATACCAGTAAAGACAGAGAGTGTAACATTGAGGCAGATAGTGAGGGATGTTTGTGCGGAAGAGGCTGTTAGTGATCTGGCTGTTCTCAGGACTCAGATGCTGGACAAGAACGAGGAGGTTTCACTTTCACTTTCTCTTTTATTTTGTGTTTCATTCTAGAGCTATTACTTAGCAATCCTACTGCATAGTGTAATTTAAAGGCTGTTCTCTAAGCTCAACTTCAAGACGATAATGTTTTCCGAGCAGTGTGTGATTACACCGTTCTCTAAACCATCTCTCTCTCTTTCTCTCTCTCTCTCTCTCTCCACCCCCCCCAACCAACCACATTCCTGGTCGTCTGTCTGCTAGATTTGATTACTCTCCGTTACTTGAAACCAGTAATCTTAGTGTGTGTATATGATCTGTGGTTTGGTTGGTAATTCTCCAGTCTGTGAGAGTTTGCAAACTTGCGAACTGTAAGAGTCTGTGAGATTCTGAAAACTGTGAGAGTCTGTGAGAGTCTGTGAGAGTCTGTGAAAGTCTGAGAACTGACGTATTATCTCCCTCAGATTGAGCAGTTGCAGAGTGAGAACGACGATCTCGTCTCCTCCATTTCAGGTTAGCCCCCCTGATATAACAGTAGTTACTAATACAGTGGTTTCTAATAATAAAGTCTACATATTATAACGCTGTGTGACACACAGACTGATATTATGTGATATTTGGAATGGCAATTAAATTAGGCTAGACTGTTTTCTTCCAGCCTGCCTATTTGAAATCTAGATTATCCATTATCCTAATTTGAGACAAGTCGTAATTGTAAACCAGTCACAGCAACACTGTGTTGAAATCTGGATATCATCCAATGATTAGATCAAATTTGAAATAACAAGCATTTAAAATGTTTAACGTGTTTATTGTCCAGGTTTAGATTCCAAGATAGACGACCTCTCAGAACAACTATCCAGACTACAATCTCTAAACAGGTCCCTCCAAGCTCAGAACTTCAACCTCAGTACCTCCCTCTCCCACAAGGATGTTACTTTTGATAAACTAAAGAAATACCTCCACAAAGGTCGGTTGAATCTCACAGTTATTGGTTACCATGGTAGCGGATAGCTCTGATGTATTGATTACATTGCTAACGGATGATTGTCCGAATGTATGAAGTGTAGTTTGTTAAGAGTATGTTGAAAAGTTGAAAGGCACTGGTTTTTACACATTTATAACACTGCTTTATTTGATTCAATGGTTACTCAAGGATTCTCGAGTAAGACGCAGTGTATTAGTTTAGAACATGTTTGTACAGCTTGTTGATGTACAATGTTTAGATTAACATGTTCACTGTATGTTCTATGTTTCATTCAGTCCAGTGTTCAGTACAATATTGATAACAACAACCTCATGTCTCACCCTAGAGGATTGTAGCCGTAAAATTGGTTGGACCAGCGGGGGGGGGGGGGGCCAATGGCATAAATGGAGAAAATGGAGAATTACTCATGGGTTTTTCCATTTTCTCCATAGAAAAAGTCTCCATTTTATGCCATTTTATGCCATTTTATGCCATTGAAAACCTGAAAAATTTAGAATTTCGAGAAAAATTTAAAAAAAAAAAAAAGATATTTTCGGCCAATAATGAACAGAGTATCATGAAACATGGAGAAAAGTGGTTTTCAGAAAAACTTTGAAAAATGTTGACTTAGAAAATTTTCGGTCCGAGTCATTTTCGATACGTACCTCCCGTATCGAGAGCTCCGGATTCCGAGCTCGTGTTGCAAAGGGGAGGCCTGCCTTCCGAGATCGCATTACCTCGAGTCCAAAATTGTGTATCGAGGGGAAGGTGTGGACTTCGAAAAACCGAAAAAATATTTTCGACAAATAATGAACAGGGTAGCATGAAACGTGGAGAAAAGTATTTTCAGAAAAACTTTGAAAAATTTTGACTTAGAAAATTACCCCTCGGTACACAATTTTGGACTCGAGGCTTCCCCCTGGTAATGCGATCTCGGAAGGCAGGCCTCCCCTTTGCAACACGAGCTCGGAATCGGGAGCTCTCGATACGAGAGGTACGTATCGAGAATGACTCGGGCCGAAAATTTTCTAAGTCAAAATTTTTCAAAGTTTTTCTAAAAACCACTTTTCTCCACGTTTCATGCTACCTTCTTCATTATTAGCCGAAAATATTTTTTTGGTTTTTCGGTTTAAGTCTGCACCTACCCCTCGATACACAAATTTGGACTCGAGGCTTCCCCCTGGTAATGCGATCTCGGAAGGCAGGCCTCCCCTTTGCAGTGCGAGCTTGTTTCGACTTTCGAGGATGTAGGTCTCACTTCTCAGTGCCTATTACTCTCCCCTATTACTCACTCCTGCTGTAGCCTGTAGAAATGACTTTACACTAGGCTTGAGTAATTATGAGTTTGCTTGAAGTGTGCCTCTACTAACCTAGTATAAGCATCTAGTACCCTACTAGGAGCTTTCATAAGCTTGTTACGCCCCTAGTAAGCGTAAATAAACATGTTAGGATGTCCAATTTAGGTGTTAAATGGTGTTAAAGATGAAATTTCGAAGAAAAAATTCATGGCATAAAATGGAGAAAATGGAGAATTACTCATGGGTTTTTCCATTTTCTCCATAGAAAAAGTCTCCATTTTATGCCATTTTATGCCATTTTATGCCATTGGCCCCCCCCCCCCCCGGACCAGCTGATTAGTAAAATGTCAATATTATTTAAAAAGACAACATGACTACAAACAACAACAACAGAGCTTAAAATTTGTAAAGTCCATTTTAACAGTTATCTAATTATTTTAACAGTTATCTGATAATTATTGGCATTGTTAGTAAGCGTTTCCTGTTTGAAGTGTGATAACCCCTCTTTCCCACCCAGGTCCTCCCTCCCGTTGCCAATCCGCCTCCCCGCTTGCCAGCATTTCAGAAGCCTCCGGAAATGCGGCTCACAAGTACGGCTTCCTAAACCGGAGTTCTCAGAGCATCTCCAGAAGAAAGAGTATCCGACCCTGGAAACGTCGGCTGGCAGTCCTGGACAACAATAACCTGTCTATCTACAAAGTCGAGACTGTAAGTACTAATTACTTACTACACATCGTGTTTGGTTTTTAAACGTTTTGGTAACCTTTCTGTGGCTTTCAATGCACTGCCCATTTTCAAACGAGTAGTTTTCTTTTCATAAGATTTGAAGGTAACAATCACCAACCCGTTGTTAGATAAGTTGTTAGGAGATTTAATAAAGTAGCTGAGACTGGGTTTGGGTGTTAAACTATTGAGCACTGAAGCAGAAAGTAAAGTAGTAGTCCAGCTGAAAGAAGCCACATTTCTGAAGCCACATTTGTAAAGTTACCTTACATAAGTCGGTACCTTTGTAAAGAAGAAACCTGTCAAGGGGGGTACCTACAAGGGCAGGTAAAAAGACGCACACCCTGTCAGGCGGCGGGCATACACCATGTCGGACACACTCCATGTCGGACACATGCCATATCGGATACATACCATGTCGGACACACTCCATGTCGGACACATACCATGTCGGACACATACCATGTCGGACACATACCATGTCGGACACATACCATGTTGGACACACTCCATGTCGGACACATACCATGTCGGACACATACCATGTCGGACACATACCATGTCGGACACATACCATGTCGGACACACACCATGTCGGACACACACCATGTCGGACACACACCATGTCAGTGGTTTTATTAACAATATTACTATTGAGAGAGTTGTGGGAGAGAGAGAGAGAGTGTTGATCTCCACTAATATTTATGTTTGTTTACAGGATACACTGCAACCTCGTGCTATATAATATATTATCACACTTTCGAGCCAAATTTGGCAGGAAAGCAGAATTGATATTACATGCCCCGATGGGGAGCACTGGCTCTCACCCGGGGGCATGAAATATCAATCAGTTGCTCTGAGAGAGCCCGATATTCCCATAGGAACAAGGAGCCCACTCTCAACAACTGTTATACTACTGTGAGGTACTGATTTAAATAAAGATTTAAATCAACAACCTGAAGTAGTCTATGACCGTAAATGCAATGATCAGATAAACTTTCCACCATTAGGAAAAATTTGTATTTATAATTAGTTTTAAAAATATTTCCTTGCGTTTGAGATGTGTCAAGCGAAATAAAATTTTTTGTTGTAAAACTTTTTCAAGCTGTTCCTTTTTTACTGCACTTCATAGTTCAAAGTCTAATTAGGCTTCGGATGATGAAACTAAGTAAAAACTCCCTGGCTTGTACGAGCTTTAAATGACTTAAGGTTACTGAAAACGAGATCAAAGTTTACAAGCAGACTTGAAAGTTGCACAAAGTTTTGGTACTTGTCAGCGATACAATCAATCAGGATAATTAATTTCCTTAATCGCTTACTTGAAATTAAAAAGGAAGTGTCAGAACAAACTACAGAGTACAGTCACCCTTACAAAAAACAGTAAACATTAAACGATGTTTGATTAATTCGAACGAAGAAAACACACAAAACAAAGCCAGATTTCAGCCATTTCAGACCTCAATTTTAACCCCCTCTGATCCCTTCTTTGAGCCATATTCCATATAGAAATTGTGCAGAAATTATACTTGGCTTTTCCAAACCGGTTTCGCCTAGATTAGCTTGCGAAATTCGTGGCTGATCTATAAACAGACTGATAAAGAGATTTATAGATTCTGTACAGTAAAGAGCGAAAATTCTATCCCAGGACCAGTTTAAATTTTAGTTAGTGCAAATAAGTGCAATAAAAACATCCTATAAAATATATTATCTATCTAAATATATCAAGGGACGAATGACGTAACTTAATCAGCTAATCTGGTTATAAATCAGTCTGGGCACTAGGGCAAACAGGTCCGATGATTAATGTGCTGCCATTCTTTAGACCAATTCAATATTGGTAACAGTACGGGTGAACTACCTGGCCATGACCAGGGTGGTTATAGGCTGGTGGAGTACTGCGTTCTAAAATGTTGAAGAGATACATTTAATTATTGCAACTGTTCTGATAATTTCCAGTTCAGATGATTTCTAGCGAAGCAGATAATGGCAAATAATGGCAAGTAAAGATGAATACTGACTAAGAACTAAGTAGCTACTATACTCGATAAAATTCTAAGTCAACGATTACAAGTTGCATTGATTAAATCATTCTGAAATAACAGACAATCAAGAATCAATACGGACGATGATATTGTACATGTAAATTAGGGTGTGTAGTGTATAATGTGGACTGATAAATAGCCCACAGCTCTATTCAAATACAAGAACTAGGAAATTCTTTCACCTTATCGCAGATACAGATTATACGATAAGGACTGTGATGTATAATCAACGCTTAAACGGATGTTCTATACATCATACATATACAGTTTTAATGACTCCAAAAATATCTAATAGAAATAAAGTATTAGAATCACCAAACATCGATTGATTTGCAGGATATAATAATTACGTATCAAACGCGCTCGTGGCGGAATATTTTAGACGCCAATAAGTACAAGTCCCATGCTCGATAAATATATTAATATTCAATGCACTACGTATCACTTATCTGTATAAAGCAAATTGGGCGCGGCATACAGCATTCACTGTGTCATAAATGTGATGAGCACGTGAGATCTTAATTGTACGTATTGTATCTTCGATATCTGAAATACTAACTCATCGAGAGCTATATATAGCTTGGACATTATAAACATAAATAAGTTCGACATGTCTAGTTTGCTTTGGTGAGATTTATAACTAACGTTTGATCAAATTCTGCTTTCCCGGCCAAATTTGACTCCAAAGAAAGTGTGATAAAACATTAATCACATGCCTTCTCATGCGATATCAACATTTTCAAAACTCGGCAAGCCTCGTGATTGAAAATGTCGATATAACCCTCGGCAAGCCTCGGGAAATATCGAAACTTTCGCTAACTCGGCAAGCCTCGTGGGCGAAAGTTTTGATATCGCATGAGAAGGCATGTGATAAATGTATAGTATAGAACTGTTAAAACTACATAAAGGCACTTGTTTTGAGGAAAGTTTTAAATTTTACATAGTGAAGTGCTCAAGTTGACAAATAGGGGAGGGGTGGGGGAATATTGTGAAGTTTCATGGTATCTTCACACAAAGTGTGGACAAGCATTGTGCGTAACGTAAATAACTAGATAGCATACAAAGCATATACCTCACTAGTCACTAGTCACTAAGTATTGACAAGTATGTAATACTTAATATTAATTACGAATACCTCTCAGGTTGAATCATTGATCCCGATAAACTCTATTATTGATATTCAGATGGACAGCAAAAAGTAAGTTTTTCCCACCACTTTCTGTCACGTGACATCAAGTAATTCACACGTGACCTGCTCGGTTACTTAGTAACGGCACCTTGTCACGTGACACGGCTCTAAACAATTACTTTTCCTCTACTGAAGCCATTAAAGAGTAAAAGCTTACAAATTGTTGGCTCCCACGAGAAGAGTACTTAGTATCCGATAAAAGATCTCTTTGACTAAAAGTAATTTAGGTTGTCCGAGTATTATATATGCTTCTCACGAATGAATTATCTGTTATCAGTGCAACATATTATGTTTTATGGAGGCTATTGAATCGTGATTCCTGCACAGAAAGGAATTTATAGCATTTACACCTTTTTAAGATTAATCAAACTGGTAATCATATTTTTAATCAATTAATTGATTAAATAAATATTTAACTAATTAATCAAATAACCAGGTCGTATGGGAAGCACGTGATCGTTATCACTACTGACGATAACAGAGAACATTACTTACAAGCTAACTCAGAGAAGATATGAAGGAATGGGTCCACATGATCGAGAGTCTTGGACCTAGTTAATCAGCTGATCTATTAGTTAATTGATGATCTGATTGTTCAATTAATTAATCAGTTAATTGATTAGTTAATTAATTGTTTATTTGTTAATTAATTGAATCATCCGGAACCCTAGGTGAAATATGTACATTTTAAACTTTGAAGGATACTTCCTTGAGTAAAAGCTTAGCTAAAATTCGTTCTGTTGCTGCCTTCGATGTTTGCATAATCCGGTGTAGTTTTAATTAATTAAATTAATAATAACTTGATGTAGGGAATTAATTTATTTTGAAACTAGCCAGATTGCGCTACCAATTGGACATGGTATTTATGGGCCGTTTTATACGTTTTGTTTCTTGTTTTTTATGTATAAATGTTCGTACATATTATTTGTGAAAAGGAACCAATCTTGATGTGTGATATTATTAAATTCGATGCTCTATTTATTAAATTATTTGGTTGATTATTTTTGATAGCGACTACATAATTGGGATGTGAACCGAAACCTTATGACAATTTATGATTCATACAGCAAGTTTATATTAGGAAGGAAAACATTTTATCTTTGAAAGGAATGGTATCTGCGAAATATCATCAAACCGAAATCTTAATTCACTAAAACTGAGGTTTAGTTTTATGGTGCTTTTGCGTGGGTTTTTGTACTCAATGTTTTAACAATGTCAGCTGAATGCTTCGTTGTCAGCTAAACCTGTTTTTTCGAGCGTCTGCCCCATATAAATTATTATATGAACCAAAATCCGAATATTTGTGATTATTCAACGTTTTTATTTCCAATAAAACATCGTTTCTATTAGTAAATGAGACGTCAAACTTATCAACTGAATTTGTCATACGCTCAAGTATTACAAGTATTACAAGATGCTACGAGATTATAGCTGTGTGGTATTAAAAGTAGAATCTAATATTGTGATTGAGTGATCTGTCATAAAGTGGTCTGCCAAGTAGTATTATTTGGTGGTTCGACAGGTTTATGTCATTTCTGGGATGAGGGCTGGGTTGAATTGACGGCCTGAGTTGGCAGGTGGTCACGGTGTTCATGACGTCATCTGGCATCGTGTTATCCGGTTCCACTTCAAGTAGTCGCCTGAACAGAGAGCTGTAAATTTATTGTAAATGGTCATCACTCGACTTGAAGAGGCCATACTGCGTGAACAAAACCAACTCAGTAGCGCGCGAATAGCAAACTAACGAATAAAGTTTTCTATCGACAACCTTAACTTCACTGTAATCTGATCCGCGCGGACGCGCGCTATATATCCTAGCTTTGCATCATGCATTCGATTTTAATGCTAAACCCACTAAATTAATTCAACAACTTCTTACAAACTCTATCAAGTGTTGGCATGGTATTAGTAAATTTAAAACGCGAACGACTGGTTGCTGGTGTCATCAGTCAGGTAGATGATTTACCTGGGGACCCCATGCTATTATGTTCATAAAGATTTGGCGGAATGACAGGCTGAGCGCGGCCCAGTAAGGTAGGTTGTAAATGTACAATCGATGTGCGGCCCAGTACAAAATTACCTGGCCTGGGGACCTCAGGCTATTATGTTCATAAACAATAAACGAACATAAATAGATAGAATAATTCCGCCAAATAAACAATAAAGATTCGGCGGAATGACAAGCTAAGCGCCGCTCAGTAATATTATGTATTTTATTTATTTCTGAAAAAATAATATATATATATAATCGGCAAGTTGTATTTAATTTATGACAGTAAAATACTTAATATAACGCAATAATGCTCTCTCACTCTGAGGGCCGCGCATGATAACACCCGAACGTAGTGAGGGGGTTTGCGCGGCCTGATAGAGTGAGAGAGTATTATCAGTTATAATGCCCGACTGTCCGATTGGAAGGGGTGTAATGTGATACGTGCGCATGATACAATATAGTGTCTAATATATAGAACGCCAGTGTTATTTGTTTTGAAACTAATTAACTGTGGAGCCGGAAATGTATTACGAGAAATGAAAGTGGTCTCTCGCTGTTCCTATACCTGTTTTGATAATGCTCCCTGAGAAAAATTTAGCGTTATCACTTTTCACCCTCATGACACATTATCACATATAACGTCCCTGAGGGCATTATAATACTGGGTAACCGGTAAAAGTCAAAGGAATAACATAATATATTTCCAAATGACATGTAATGAATTTTAATGTTTGTAGCAAAGTTTAATTTGGTGGTGTCGCTTGGAGGATTCACATAGCCATGTGTCTACGCGTACTGCGTGACGGGCTTGTTTCACAAGTCTTTGCCGCCTTCGGCGGTCGCGCGCTACTGCAAGCGAGAGGGCTATGGTTAGAGCAACTTGGAGGACTTCGCCGCTTCGACGCGCCGCGCAAACTAGCATTCTTGCTTCGCAGAGCAACGATCTCGACGGATTGACATCGTCAATCAATGGTGTCGCTTATTTATACATTATAAACAATAAATATTCAACAAAATCGTATTCGTAGATTGACTTCCAAATTATGACTGTAGTTTGAATAAATTTGGTTCTTTTAAAACTAAAACACAAAGTGTTCAATTTAGGACGAATACTAACTTTTTTACATTTTAAATCACAAAAAACAAAAATATTTGCATAAAAGTTTTGGTGCGCCGCGCATGGCAACTCTAAAACGTTTCTGTTTTCGAAAATCGAGCGTTACTTTACAAGAGGATTGTAGTCACTACAATGTAGTGTCACTGGTTTACACTGTCACGTCTTGTTACATTGAATCTAAATGTATTGTCTTAGCCAAGACTTCAGTCAAATCAAACTATCTATCTTCTGGGAATCGTAGCAGAAATAGATTGTGTTAAATAAACAAAAGTGTTAATCTTGATGATAAATTATGAGACTACATTGGAGTGTACTGAAAGATTTATTGAATTTTTATGAAACCCCTTTTTTGTTAAATAGAGTTTCATGAAATATTAACAATACATATTTTGCACTAGCCACTACCTGAGTGAAAGTCTTTAGAGCAAGCAATCTACTAGGAGTTAAGCTCTCGATTGAAGAAACCTAATGTAGAATTCACTAGTATTTTAAGAGCTTAAATAGAGACTTATAGTTATTGATTATTTATAATAAGTTCCTAACCAGACTCATCACGTTTTGGTAACAACTTCAAAAGTAATTAGGTGCTTCTTAATTATGATAATTATGTGCTTCTTAATGTGCAATATTTTATAGAATGGAAGATAGTGACCAGGCAACTGTAAGATGGGATGAGTATGCAGCAAGATGGCTGAGGGCCAGGTTGGGCTACATTCTACTCATCATTTACATGTTGGGATTATGTTTTGCTATCCCGCTAAGTGTTAACGAGCTCGTGAAGAGGCATGCTGAGGTGAAATTACAAAAAACATTGTGTTTCAGAACAATCTAATATGAGTAATATTCAATATGCATTGAAATTTCTAGATTTTACGCTCTACACTTGATATATTGGTATTTCCTATTCAATAAGTTCTAATAATTTTCTATCTTCAGAAACATGTGGTTGTCTGGTTTGTGGCTGGGGTGTTTGTTTACATGACGATACCTATCACTACTGCAGGTAACCATGACAGCACTAGCAGATATTACTCTGTTTTTATCCTCAATTTTATTCGAGGTTTAGTCAAGAGTATTCAGTTGTTAAAAGTATAATGCTGCCAGCCGATTGAAAGTCAGTGAACAACATTGATATTTTTACCATAACATCATTGCTGTTACCATGGCAATTTACCAGGAGTTGTGCAGCACCTGAAGAACTTCTCCCAACCTCCCCAACAACTGCGGTTAATCAGGATACTCATGATGGTCCCTGTTTACAGTTTCTTTAGTTACCTGGGCATGATACTACATAAACAGACCATCTATTTAGATGCTGTGAGTATATACGCCAAAACGTTTCGAACCATATTTGGGTTTATTTTATGACGTTTGAAATTTTATTTCCATTAATATTTAAAGAACTGTCTAGTCAAAGACATGAACAATGATTACATGTTGTTAGGTCAGATCAGAGATATTGACAAATCGTCTTAACACCCCTGTTACCCTAACAACATTCCTTCAGATGCGAGAGTGTTATGAGTCGTATGTGATTTACAACTTCATGATGTTCCTAGTAACGTACATGTATGAACACTATAATGTAGAACAGTTGCTAAATTACAAGGCTGCACAACCACAGCTGTTCCCTTTCCAGAGGCTACCTCCATGGCCTAAGGTTAGTCTTGTTGTTATTTATCTTGTATTGTCTGTGTAAATATAAGGGTCAATTGACTACCTTTGCCTCTTAGCAACAGTAAGCAACCTTTTCATTATATACAATAAGAAGTTGAGATCGTTATAATATATTTGTTCGTGTTTTATTTTCAACTATTTATCAAGCAACGTTATAAAAATCATTGTGTTTCAGGGCAAATCGTTTGTGATATGGTCAAAAAGAGGAGTGTTTGTCTACGTTGTCTCCAAACCGATCACTACTATTATTATGTTGATAGCTGAACTGGCCGGCCACTCTGGAAAGAATGAATTCAGTATAGGTTAGTAATTAGCTATTTAGTTAATTAGCTTTCAGTATTATAGTTCCTGCTTTCATTTTTATCGTAATTATTAGTGAGAACCTGTATATAATACCCGACCTCTCGGGGGAACAGTGCATGGTATATAAAAATCCCGGTATAGAGAGGTTCACAAAATCCCATCTCCCCAGTACATATACGGTAATATAGCTTCTAGAAATAACCCGTAATATAGCTTCTCAAATAACCTGTCAAGCATCTCATATATATACGTACGTCATTACTCATTAATCATTAGGGACTTAATATGAACGTGTTGTATTGTGATAGAACACTGCTCAGTATTTAATCAAATCACTACAAAATACAATATTATCTAAGATAAATCATATTTCTTGCACAACACGAGCAAATTGAATAGAATTTTGGCAGAAAAGAAGAGGCCCAGTATAGAGAGCTACAGTTACTCGATATATGTTTATTGAATGATAGATTTTTGAAACGAATTCTAAATTTCTAAATTACTAAAAACCTATTTTATTTATTATTTTTTGCAGGTAGTATATGGATGTGGACATTAATAATAGATAACATAGCCCAAATGTGGGCCCTGTACTGTCTTGTTATCTTCTACCAAGCACTTAAACACGAGTTAGCTGGAATTGAACCTCTTCCTAAATTCCTCTGTGTTAAGGCAGTGGTTTTCTTCTCTTTCTGGCAGGGACTATTTTTGGATTGTCTTGTCTTCCTCAGTATTATTAAAGATAGGTGAGTTAGAACATAATCTCAGGTTTTAATAAGCTTATTGTTACAATGTTATTTTAAACCTATAATACCTTGTTATCACTACTAAATTGTAAGCACCATTCCATATTACATGAAAAAAGGATTGAAAAATCGATAATTTAATGTCTTCTTTCTTACGATTTCTGTAGAAATTAAAAAACAAACTGATTGTTTATAAATTCCTGTTAATTACTTTTATTTTAATTTATTTTTAATTTACTTTATTACAGTAAAAATGAAGGCGGCTACACAGCAGAAGAAACAGCGGAGACAGTGCAGAACTTACTGATCTGTATGGAAATGTTCGGATTCTCAATAGCCCATCATATTGTCTTCTCTTATAAACATTACGTCTCAGGTAAGCGTTGATTTAGTAACCAGATAGTAACCTAGTAACCAGATAGTAACTTAGTAACCAGGTAGTAACTTAGTAACCAGATAGTAACCTAGTAACCAGATATTAACTGTATGAATTTTAACACTTTATCTCCTCTCAGAGATAGAAATACCACCCCCTCAGTTTCTAACTAGTCTATCTCACTTGTTTGACTTCAGAGACGTCAGAACTGATATCAGAACACAGGTAATTGAAACGTTTTTATCTTATTATTTTATAAATATGAAATCTTAAATGTTCTTTTATCAATAATTGTACATATCATTTTTTAGTTATTATCATTTTATTCCTATCATTTTATGATTTTAGTTGGGTGAAATGGCCTACGGTGGCGGTAAAAAGTCAAGAAATTCGGTAAAACTGTGGAAATTAAAAGTTTCGCTGATTGTTTTTATTGTTTTGATAAAATCTGCGTTTAAAATGGCGAAACTATTGAAATGATTGTTAAAACCATTATTTTGATTCTTAGTAATTTCTAAACTTGTAATAATCCTTAACGTCGTCAAATACCATTTAATTGCTAGGTAAGTTTGTGTGCGTAAAATATTTTCGACTGCGGTCTGCGATTTTTGAATTTAATCAAGTCGATCCCGAAAGGGGAAACTGATCGTTCATATACCGAACGATTTTGCTTGTCAAACAAACTTGTGACTTTGTTCAGTTTTGAGGTTGTTAAAATATTCCAATACCTAATGTACATCACTTGAACCACTATAACTATTTAATTACCCCACTAATAACCTATACCCCCTATCAGTTGGGAGTGAGTGCACAAACAATACGTAACAACTACAGATCTCGTCATACAGAGAGATCACCTCTACTTTCTTCAGAACATGTTGAGTTGAACACTTTTAAAAACTATAACCAGGATAATAACGAGAATATTTGATAACTAAGCTGAGAAGTGAGAACTAGCCAGAGTCGATCTACAATTTCCAAATACCCAAAATAATAATTGACTAACTAGTTTAAAATTTATTTTGTTGGTACATATAACATACATAGCTACTTTTATTCATAATCTTCATACAATGCATACCTCTGCTTTTATTACGTAAAATCAAGAATAATGTTGTTATCTCTGTAATACTATACAATAAACTCTTCTTTACTTTTCTAAAGGGTTGAATAATCTTTAAAGATTTTTAAATATCAATATTATTGTTCTGAAAATGTTGAGCAATTTTAACACTGTACCACAGTGTACGGTGTACCAGTGTAATATAGTGGATTATTTTGTACGTGTAGTTTATATTATTTTGTAGTGTGTTTATGATTCATTAATCTGTATGCACGTGGTGTGAATACTGTGTTCTGATTGGTTAGTTTGTGTCACGTGGTGTGAATACTTTGTTCTGATTGGTTAGTTTCTGTATCCCAACTGTACTTGTAATTGGGACTTTTATTTTGTTTTGTTCACAATCATTGCTGTAAATAGAATGAGAGAATAAAGGGCAAGTTTCCATAAACGATATTTTATGATCGGCGCCGATAATCGCTTATTGAGCGCTTTCTCGGCGCTTTTTTTTTTTTAAACCGTTTATAATCGATTTTTTTACGATTATAAACGGTTCAAAAAAAATCGCTTATAATCGACTATAATTGATGTCATAATTCAAAAAAGCGCTTTTTTGAATTTAAAAGCGCTTATAAGCGCTTTTAAGCGCTTACTAGCGTCGCTGAGCGATTTGAAAGCGGTTTTCCAGTAGGATTGGCGCCAAAAACGGGTGGATAAGCGGTTGGCCGGATAAGCGATTCGTAGCCGCTTTTTTGAACCATTTATAAGCGATTATAAGCGCTTATAAGTGGGGTGCAATTTAGCTGTTTGTAAAGCGCAAATAAAGCGCTTATAAGCGCTTTTAAAATTGAGTCAGGAAAACGCTATATTACATCTTATAACCGCTTATAATCGATTATAATCGCTTTTTTAGAAATCGCTTATAACGGCTAATTCATCGGTATTTTACCGCTTTTACCACTTTTCCTATCATCCATGGCCAGGTGAGCAGGAATTAAAAAGCGCTTATAAGCGCTTTTTCGATGCTGCCCCTAACCTGGTCGGAACGGGGTAGTGCCCGGAATTTAAAAGCGCTTATAATCGCTTTTTCAATGCTGCCCCTAACCTGGTCGGAACGGGGGAGGGCCCGGAATTTAAAAACCCTTATAAGCGCTTTTTCAATGCTGCCCCTAACCTGGTCGGAACGGGGGAGTGCCCGGAATTAAAAAGCGCTTATAAGCGATTTCTCAATTCCCCTTAACCTGGTCAGAACGGGGGAGTGCCCGGAATTAAAAAGCGCTTATAAGCAATTTCTCAATTCCCCTTAACCTGGTCGGAACTGGAAATCAGGGTGCCCGCTTATAAGTGCTTTTCTGTGCAACCTGGGGTGCACCGGCAGAGTCAGGATTTAAAAGCGCTTATAGGCGCTTATGATTGCTTTTCTACCGCTTTCCTATCGCCCATGGCCTGGTTGGCAGGAATTAGAAAGCGCTTATAAGCGCTTTTTCAATGCTGCCACTAACCTGGTCGGAACGGGGTAGTGCCCGGAATTAAAAAGCGCTTATAAGCACTTTTTCAATGCTGCCCCTAACCTGGTCGGAACGGGGGAGTGCCCGGAATTAAAAAGCGCTTATAAGCGATTTCTCAATTCCCCTCAACCTGGTCGGAACTGGAGAGTGCCCATTCGTATGTGCTTTTCTGAGCAACCTGGGGTGCACCGGCAGAGTCAGGATTTAAAAGCGCTTATAGGCGCTTATGATCGCTTATCTACCGCTTTTCCCATCACCCATGGGCTGATTGGCAGGAATTAGAAAGCGCTTATAAGCGCTTATTCAATGCTGCCCCTAACCTGGTCGGAACGGGGGAGTACCCGAAATTAGAAAGCGCTTATAAGGGAGAGTGCCAGGAATTAGAAAGCGCTTATAAGCTTAACGGGCGATACTCGTAAAATATTTGTTTCAAATATTACGTTGAGTCCAACTCGGCGTGCGTCCTGGTAAGTTATAAACTTACAATTATAAGCACAAATCTGAACATCCGTTCACCTGGAGTGCACGAAATTTAAATGCGCTTATAAGCGCTTTTCTCGATGCCCCTAAACCTGTCATGCACAGGCGGGAGCTTCAGGATTTGAAAAGCGGTTAAGCGATTACAATCACTTTTTATTACTGGTTTTTACCGCTTTATCTATCATTTATCAACATGGATTTAAACATAGTTGTTTGACTGGCGATCTAGAAGCCAAGCAAGAAGGCTAAGTGCACGGCGCGGCAAAGTTCTCCGACAATAATTGTCAGAAATTGTAAAGCGCTTGCAAGCGTTTATTTATATGTTGTTAATGGTGACGGTTGTTCTGGTGGCGGTCGATGCCCGCTGCGTCATCAGTCATACACACTTCACATCCAGAACTTGCAAAAGAAAAGTATAGTATATGAAATTAAATTATTGCGCTCAACGAGTATGACAGGCCTGTTCATGTTATTCCAAAAAATCTCTAGTCGGGCTGAGCAAATCACAACGTCTGAAAAAGTGCGGTGCTCATTGAAAGTTAGTGTGTGTGTGACCAGCATTTGCGTACTTGTTCATAATCAATCGCAAATCGTGGACATAAAAACACGTGCATGCTGATTGACCATTGTTAATGGTCTGGCCCGGCGCGCGCTACTTCGTAGCACTTGCCATCGGGCATTGCGGGCAGGTGATATTTCGAGAAGAAAGCGGCGCGCGCTACTTCGAAGAAATTTAGACGAGTAACATCCGTCAAGCACGCTGAGTACCTATAGGAAAAAAAGTAATGTATACGCTAGAAAAGCCGCGCGCGTGCTGAGATAGCTTGTAAAATTTGGTTATTAGATAGTAAAACTGCAACAAATAAACCGCGCCAGCTTGCGCGTTTGAGTCGCTCCTACGAAATCGCTCGCCCAAATTTTAAGAAAATTCTTGTGAAAAGGCCTTTGGGTATGATATTGATCTGAATCGGTGTATTTTTTGGACGCTGATCCCGAATCACCCGCCATGAAGTAGGGTAAAAATACTTCCCTGGAGAGTTACATGGGCAAAAACCGTTTTAGTCACGTGACAGGCTAGTAAAACATGATTTCGATTGTTTAGGGCTCATGTTAGGGTTAGGGTTGTGGTACGCGGGTTATGGATAGCTTCGGGGTTATGGTTATGGTTAGGGTTAGGGTTGGGAGTAGGGTTTATGTAAAACTGTTTTGTACGGCTGCAAAACCATAAAAACCAAGGTCACGTGAAATTTTTGGGCGAGCGAATTAGCAAGAGCCGGTTTTTATATAAAAATAAGCGTACACATGATATACAATGCAATAAACCTAAGAGTTTCTGCATGTTCGATTATTTTGCACCTAACCATGTGCCTTCGTGCTGCCGTTGCTTTATCCAGATATGTAGTGCGCCATCGACAGTGAGCCGCGCGTGCCGACTGTATAGTAGTATGGTTTTTTAGCGCTAATTTCGGCCAGCACAATTTTCTTCAAACAAATAGATATTGAGTATCCTTCCCGACCTCCGATTGCAACAAAAATTGGTGAGCTTACTCATAGACTTACAAGGAAAGTGTCCGAAATAATACGACAAAAATCAACGAATTTGGTCAAATTACGCGACTTTAACCAGGTTAAGGGGCATTGAGAAAGCGCTTATAAGCGCTCTTTAATTCCGGGCACTCCCCCGTTCCGACCAGGCTAGGGCCTAGGGGCAGAATTGAAAAAGTGCTTATAAGCGCTTTCTAATTCCTGCCAACCAGGCCATGGGCGATAGGAAAAGCGGTAGGAAAGAGATCATAAGCGCCTATAAGCGCTTTTAAATCCTGACTCTGCCGGTGCACCCCAGATTGCACAGAAAAGCACTTATAAGCGGGCACTCTGATTTCCAGTTCCGACCAGGTTAAGGGTAATTGAGAAATCGCTTATAAGCGCTTTTTAATTCCGGGCACTCCCCCGTTCCGACTGGGTTAGGTGCAGTATTGAAAAAATGCTTATAAGCGCTTTCTAATTCCTGCCAACCAGGCCATGGGTGATAGGAAAAGCGGTAGAAAAGCGATCATAAGCGCTTTTAAATCCTGACGCTGCCGGTGCACCCCAGGTTGCACAGAAAAGCACTTATAAGCGGGCACTCTGATTTCCAGTTCCGACCAGGTTAAGGGTAATTGAGAAATCGCTTATAAGCGCTTTTTAATTCCGGGCACTCCCCCTGTTCCGACTGGGTTAGGTGCAGCATTGAAAAAGTGCTTATAAGCGCTTTCTAATTCCTGCCAACCAGGCCATGGGTGATAGGAAAAGCGGTAGAAAAGCGATCATAAGTGCCTATAAGCGCTTTTAAATCCTGACTCTGCCGGTGCACCCCAGGCCCAGGTTGCACAGAAAAGCACTTATAAGCGGGCACTCTGATTTCCAGTTCCGACCAGGTAAAGGGGAATTGAGAAATCGCTTATAAGCGCTTTTTAATTCCGGGCACTCTCCCGTTCCGACCAGGTAAGGGGCAGCATTGAAAAAGCGATTATAAGCGCTTTTAAATTCCGGGCACTACCCCGTTCCGACCAGGTTAGGTGCAGCATCGAAAAAGCGCTTATAAGCGCTTTTTAATTCCTGCTCACCTGGCCATGGATGATAGGAAAAGTGGTAAAAGCGGTAAAATAGCGATGAATTAGCCGTTATAAGCGATTTCTAAAAAAGCGATTATAATCGATTATAAGCGGTTATAAGATGTAATATAGCGTTTTCCTGACTCAATTTTAAAAGCGCTTATAAGCGCTTTATTTGCGCTTTACAAACAGCTAAATTGCACCCCACTTATAAGCGCTTATAATCGCTTATAAATGGTTCAAAAAAGCGGCTACGAATCGCTTATCCGGCCAACCGCTTATCCACCCGTTTTTGGCGCCAATCCTACTGGAAAACCGCTTT